CTACACATCACATGACACACACTATACATCACACCACACATACACACTACATCATACCACACACATACAATACACCGTACAACACACATGTCACACACATACTACCTATCACACCACACACACACTACACTGTACAACACACATCTCACACACACCTCACACATCACACATGCATACATACACTATACATCACATCACACACACACACACAAAGTTGGGACTAATAAGCTTGATTTACAGAATGTAGTTTGATGGCCCAACAATGTGTCACAGTGAGGAGGCTAAGAATGCAGGGGTCATTTGGTCCAGGAGGCTGATGTCTCAAGAGTCCCAGTCTGACCCTGGAGGGCCCCTGGAGAGCTGCTGGCCCTCAGTCTATGCTGAAAGATTGAAGAAGCTGCCAAAGGAACGCTGTAGCAAGGGGACAGATGAACTTGCCAGCAAGACAAAACAAACAAAAAAACAGGCTAAACTGCAAAATTTCTTCTTTCCATGTCTTTTTATCTGGGCTGCCCACATTCAGAATGTGGCTTTGGGCTTTAAATAATATGATCAAGAAAACCCCTGCAGAAGTGCCCAGCAGTTTGCAGTAAATTTGACAACCAAGATATGACATCATATCTTCCATAGCCTAAATTCATGTATCAAACCCTTCTTCCATGGTGAGGTGATATAAGGACAGGGGGCCTTTAGGACGTGGTTGAAACCATAGCGTGCGGCCTTCATGAAGGGATTTTTGAGCTTATAATAGAATATTAGAAAGCAATCTCCCTCTCCCCTCCCCCTCCCCCTCCCTTCCTCTCTCCTCCCTTTCTCCGCTCCCCTAATATTAGTTACCCTTTAATCACAATGGCCAAAAACCGAGATATAATTTTGGCTCACAGGTTTCAGGGTCACTGCCCATCATGGTGGGCAAGATAGGGCAAAGAAACTTGGCTCAAATCATGGTGAGCCAGAAGACAGGGAGACAGGAAGTGACCAGAGATAATACACCCACACCTGGAGCCTCCCTCAAAGAACCTTATTCCATCTAGGCCTCCCTTCCCCCTTTAGGAGCAAGCATTCAAGTTGTCAGCCTGTGTGGGACATTATAGATTCAAATTATAACACAGGGGTTTATAAACTAGCCTCAGTGCTACCATCCCCCTGATTCCAAGAGCAGAGATTATAGGCATCATCACCATATCCCCCTACACCCTCACCCCCCCATCACCACCACCACCCACCCCCTACCCCACCCACCCCCCAACCCCCCAACCCCGCCTAGTCCTATGAGAACACAGATAACAGGCACCATCTATGAGCCAGGAAGCAGGCCCTCCCCAGATTCTAAATTTGCTTTATGATTTGATCAGTGGCATCTCAGCCTCCAGAAACAGGAGGGAGAAATTCTATCATGTGAGCTGTTAAATCTAGGATGCTTTTCTTACTGCA